AGTTTTCAGGTTGCACAGCTTCATGTCGTCTTGTAACTCTCAGATTCATGTTAACAGATGACCGTAGGCCAGATCTGGATCCGCCTGCTGATTTGTGAGCAGTATAAAGTCAAAAAGGTCTTGTTTCTTGAAACAAATGCAAGGAGTTAGATGTTGGTAGTTAATGAGAAGCAGCATTTGACACGTGGGAAAGTTTACTTATGTTCATTAATTTAGCAGCAGGTGCTTTTAGACAAAGACACATACAAAAGAGGAATGTTACAACATAAGTGATTAATTCTAAGACTGAATAAAGGAGAATATAAAGTTCACCCTAAAAATAATGAAATTCTGTCATCAGTTACTTACCCTCATGTTGTTGCAAACCTATATGACTGACGTTTTTTTTTCTGTATGAATGTTGGTGACCAAACAGTTTCGCAGTTCACATTGACTCTTTTTTTTTTTTTGCTTCATACAATGGAAGACAATAGGAGCCAAAATGATTTGGTTACCCACATTCTTCAAGATATAAAAGAGGATTTATTGAAGAATGTTGGTAACGAAAATGGTTTTGATTCCCATTGACTTCCATTGTATTTTTTGTCCATACAATGGGAACCGAAATTGTTTGGTTGCCAGCATTCTTCAAAATATCTATTTTCCACAAAAGAAAGAAGTCATACAGGTTTGGAACCATATGGGTGAGTACATTTTTATTTTTGGATGAACTATCCCTTTAAGTAGCCTAGTTATGTGTTCACAAAGAGATGGATTTGAACGCTTGTGTCTTAAAGGTGAAGCGTATAATTTCTACACCACAAAGAACTGCAAAACTCATGATATTTTTGGCTCATTTGTGTCTGTGCACTAAACCATAATAGAAGAGAATATTTAAACATCCAAATGTACAAAAATGACACATTTCATCTTCAAAAAAAGAGAGATCTAATTCAAAAATCTGGTTTTCCCCTTCAAAGGCTCGCAAAAACCCCTGTCCGGCACTCCTTCACATTCAGTGCTGCCCTGGACACCGAATGGCCTGCATTGTGTTGTACTCATGTGTCAGTCTATGTTGTCGCTTTGAGACAGATCTTAAGGCAGCGCTGTTGTCCTTTTTAATTAAGCTTCTCCATATGCATGAGCGGAGGGGGGGAGAGAACATTGGCAATGAAGGAAAGAAGAGCCATGGCAGGGAGTCTAATCAAGTGACAGACTGCTGAGCGGGCTCAAAACACGAGCTGTCCATCAGCGATAGGTGAGTGTGAGAAACCACACAGTCTCGCATGCAAGTCTACAGAGAAATGTCAAGAGGTGCATTTAATACAGATATTATAGAATGTATATTTGTGCCCCTTTGTATCATCCTTTTTTGCCTGGGTGGCTGGCCCACCTTTCTGTCCATTATATCATTTTAGGGCGCTCCTAACGGTTGATGGGAGTTAGGTCAGAGTTCAACTCTGACGCCCCCATATGGTCAATTAAATCCCACTCAGTGCCCAAGCAGGGCCTCTTTCTTTATGGCACTATTTACTCTTATATTTTCATTATGTAAGGAAAGATGGAGAAGGAGAGATCAAGAGAGAAGAAAGTTGTCTGTTCTTGATGCATGAGCTGAAAGGACACAAATTACAAATCAATATGGTTGGAAATCATAAGGAATTTAATGATTTTAGTTCTGATCCTGATTCCACTTAACGATTCCAGTTTATTCATAATTCTTTTAGTTATTGAGAATATTCCCCATCTCCACAGTAATTGGCCTTATTTAAACTATATTATTATTTATAAATTACATATTATTATTATTACTATAAAATATTATAATTTTTAATTTTTATAACAGGCACTGTTGTTTAAGTAGATATATATATATACATATATACATAATATTTATATTTTATATAATATATTTTTATTAATATATTAATCTATTAGGGGAATTATATAAAATATACAAAATATAAAAAAAATTGTTTAACACAATTTTGATTATTTATTACATGCTCTGTTCTCTGTTCTACTCTGGTCAAAAAGGGAATTATAATACACAGTGTTCTTTATTAGTTTAGAGATGCAAGTATGTGCAAATTAACGTGTGCTAATTAATTTGTATATTTATTTATTAATATATATTTTTATTTACATTTTACATTTTTTTTCTGTTTTTGATTGAAGTAACATTGAGACATTTGCAACCATGTCATATGTTCATTGGTTAGGGTGCACATCCTTCCAATTCCAATTTTAGCTCACTGGCGTCATGAATGGTGCCATTTGGTTCCAGTATTTTTTATTTATTTTTTTAGACTGACCTCAGATCAGGTCCTTTAGTACAAATTCTCATGCATAGGCAAGTCTGACAGTCACAAGACAGACTTCAAAGCTGCTCTCGGACTAAATGGGGAATGGCAGCCTGTGACCCAGAAAAGAAGCTTTATGCTGTATGTGCAATTGATTTGTTAGAAGAGAGGTGAAAGGCCGTATGGGTAAAGTAAATAAAAGAATGCATATCAATATATCATCAATACTCCTCTTTATGCTGGTTCGGAGCCTCTCAAGAGGCTGCAATATGCAGGGCGGAGATCAATAATCAGTCTGTCTGAGTGAGAAATGGTGGCTCTGCTGTCACATTTGTAGTCTGGACTGTAATAACATCTGCTGTGATGTAAGAGGTCTTTTTGTCACGGATCTTCATGTTTGGCCTCTGCAGACCAGGAGCGTCACGGTGGATCCAGCAGGTTGACTGAGTCATTCTGTTCAAGTAAGTTAGAACAAAGTTCTCAAACGGTCTGAACTGAAATGACTCTGGCCACCAGGATCAATGTAGTGTAGCTTTCATGCTTGCCTAATCACTGTCATAAGAGAAGGTGCCAGTTCTCTTTCATCCAGCATGTAAGAGCATATTGCTTATTTTCCGTAACGAAGTAATTCTGTAATCGGTGCCATTTGTGTCTCCTAACAGTGAGTCTTGGTGTGCTAGTTTGTTAGTTAGTCAAAAACTCACATAGACCCCATTTACTTCTGGTATTGAGATCCATTTCGACAGCACTAAATACAGATGTAAATAGGAACATCCTGAACACTTTGTGAACCTATAAATTATATGCATGTGACCAAATCACATTTGTGATATTAGCACTATTTAATTTGCCCAGACAGCAGTGAAGCACTGCCTATCACCAGCCAGGCATCATCCACTAACACAAGGGTTTTAAAAGAAATGAACCGTAACCTTATTTAATACAGGTAAACTGAGAATAACTGAAAAATAAACTCATTTGAGCAGCATTTTACTAGCAGGAAAGACATGATCTTGTCTGAGCTCTTGTGATCGGATCAAACGAGGCGTCATTTAAACTGACCCATATTCACAGTGCATATAAGACAGACAGTACTGGTGCACATGACACTATTCGACTGGCCTTTTGTGATCCCCAGCCTGCTTTAATGAGTTACAGGATCCACTTTGTTCCAGCACAGAGCTGCTTCCCTCCTCCCATCCCTGCAGAGGTCTCTCTTTTACAACCTCAGGTGCTTCTGGATACACTTAGTGCTCACTGTACGCCACCTGGGAATGCATGGGGTCAACCCTTTCCTGACCTCCCACTGGTATCTGTGCTCACACAGCCAAAGAAAGAACAAGTGACTAAGAAAAAGAAAGTGCTCTATAAAGTCTCCCTTGTAATGTGGGTGAAATCATTTCACATCTTCAGGTTTTTATAGTTTTGTTTTTGTTTTATTTTAGGCAACATATGTCTACATATGTCAACATATGTCTTTTAGACAAATGCATTTTACATGTGTTCATGTTACTGTAGTCACCTGGGAATGCATGGGGTCAAACCTTGCCTGACCTCTCACTGGTATCTGTGCTCACACAGCCAAAAAAAGAAAGAACAAGTGGGAAAGAAAAAGAAAGTGCCCTATAAAGTCTCTTGTATAATGTGCCCTATAAAGTCTCCCACAGTATAATGTCTAAAGCTTCAGATTTTTATATCATTGTTTTGGTTTTATTTTAGACAGTATATTTTTTTGAGGAAAAAAAATGTCTTCATGTATAGGGCTTGTAATTAAGATCCCCCCCCATCTCTATTGTATAATAACAATTCCCATAAATTTATAAAATGTAATTAATACATTTTCTTACAATAATTTGGTTACCATGATTGAGCTTGACTAATGCAGTAAACTCAATGTGTAAAAATTCAAAAAGTAAAAGATTTACCTGCCCTCTGAAAGTGATATATTACTTTTTGTTACAATTTTAATTGTTTTTTTTGTAATGTTGTTTTTTTATAATAATTTGTTTATAATTAAAAAGTGTTGTACTACAACTAATTAAATATATTTCATTAGATTATGACAGTTATGATTTCATTTAAGTTCATTCAGTTATGATGATGTCTATGACACCTATGATTATGATGATTTTAACTATTAGAGTCAAGTAGGTCCAAATCCATATTTCCAGAAGGAATAAAGACATTTTATGTGTTTAAAGCTAGATACGTTTCACGCAAGGTTAAGTTTATGTTAGATAATAGTTGATCAAACTTATGCAACACAACAATAATATTGGATTTATATCTCTAATGTTTTAAAAGGTTCATGGGAGACTGAAGTGTGCTGTTTTTTGTGGGATGTGCCAGTAAACCAATGCTGCTAAATAAAATAGTAACTAATGCAAAATAACAGATAGTAGCAACAGGGATCATTACAAATAGCTAACTATTAACTAGTCTATAATTAATCTCACTTTCACGTACAGAATAAACAGATGCGAGTTTTGCATTATTAAAATGACCGCTAGCTATAGATTATGAGCCCTTTACGATGTGTTTTTTCTTCAAACTGTTATAGATTTAAGACATCAGCCACTGTTAAAACTTTTAGGGTGCCTTTCCCACACATTTTACTCGTTTTCAAGTGTTTCAAGACGCACTCGTGATGTTGACACGCCAGAGTGTCTTTAACTTTAATCGAAATGCCACGAGCGTGAAAGTCATGAGGCTGTCACGGATCTGCGCGTGGCCATGACCGGCATGATAAAGAACCGGACGGCTTTTCGGCGAGGAAAACGGCTAATGGGCGAAAGATGAGGAGAAAAACAATAGCAAAGCGCATCCTGTACAATGGATACGAGGGATACGAAGAGACACCCGCAGAAACCGTCGCGAGGGCGAACCACGTCCTCAGTGTATGTAAACATCAAGCTTTTGTTGCCTATGTGTCATTGTTTTGCACTCCCTTGCTTTAATTATGTGACTGTCTTTCAGCAAGAGCCGGCGAAGAGGAGAAAATGGAGAGAACTAAATGGAGAGGACATCTCATCTTGCAATGCTGACTATATTAAGTTCAAAACAAAGGTCTGTTCCTTTTTATTGCTGAATCAATATTGTAATCAGTTTTGTTTTTTAGCTGATAAGCATTGCTGAATAGATTAAAACATCTGTTCCAGTGACAATTCTTAACATTTATAGCCTTTAAGATTTTGATAATAAAATGTAATAGGCTAAATAATGAAAATATATTAAAGATAAATGGCATCTTCCATGTGATTAAGGAGCTTTAAGTAATTTATTCCAGACTTGCTGTATCTGTAGCCTAGTTTAATGAGGGATAATAGGATCACATAGCCTACTGTAAAAATGAAGACACTGGAGGCGTCATTTGGACTTCCTCAGATTATCATACTGCCAAAAGCCTCTGGAGAATTTTTAGGACGCATTTGAAAAAGGAAAATCAGTTCTCTGAGGAGCTTATATGTGATGAAGCCCCAAGAGTTCCTGCAAGAACTTAAAAGACTGCCATCAGTTCCTTCAGGAATCATGAGGGAAAGGTTTTGAGGCACTTAAAATATATAATGAAATCTCTAATAATGTCATTTCCGTTTGAGGCATCTTCAGAAGGATATCCACTGGTTCTGCCAATGTGAAGAACCTCACAACGATCATTTTTACATTGCTATCCAATGTTATTTTGAAGTTGCAAACCAAACTAGAACCACTGGTTTCATGTGTATTTTGCTTGCTCTCAAACAGGCTTTTGAGGTTGACAAACCCCTTGGAGATGCAACAAGGGGTGCAGATTTTACTATGGAGGTAAAATGGCACAACATTCCACTTTTGGGCTACTTTGTTAATAATCTCAAATTTAACTCACTGCATAAATTAAGCTTCTTACTTCTAAACATCTACGGTGCAGTGCTTTTGAGGATTTAGAGCCAAACTCGTTCAGCTCCAAAAACTTTTTTTCCTTGCTTAAAAAGATCTTGGGTAGTTTTGGTCAATTACTGATACAAGTTTGAACGCATGTGTCCACTCAGTTTATAATGTGACGTGGATAATCTTCTTCCAGGTGCTCGGAAGTCTCCAATCACGTTCAAGGGCGGAGCTTATCGCCATGGTGTTGAGTATGCAGAGGGAGATGGACGGCCTTCGAGAGCAAATCAGAAGCCTTACAGGTAAAGCAGTGGACTTCTGAAATGTGGCAAATTGTCCTTTCTGGGTTTAGTTTTTTTATTTTACAGCTATGCATTTCCAGTGGCAAGGAAAAGACGTACATCGAGCTGAAAGCTCACTGAAAACCAGCTCGTTCACAGATCATTTCATGTTTCAAGATCATTTCAATTTGAGGAAAGGTTCAGCAAGTTCATGAGGAAACTTCATGTCAAAGAAAGATTTAGTGTTACTGTGGTGTGCCATGTTACACAACAGGTTACCTCTTGTTGTGAGACAATTTTGGGCTAAATTCATACTTTTTTTTACAGCTTGTGGGAAGTTGGCTCAGACACTTGAAGAGCTGATCGAGAAGAGTGATAGATGGCTGTGCAGCAGCCACAAAGCTGCAACTCCCAGCATTCCAGAGGAGCTCGAGAGAAGCAGGCCACCCAGTCACATTTCTCCTCCAAGGGTGCTTAGTGGAAGAACAGCTGAATGTGCAAGTTCAGAGCAGCAGGGGTGTGGTCAGTATGAGGTCACACAAACAATGCCTCAACGGAATGGAACGCTTCCCGAACAAAAAGTAGGAGTTACATTTTAGATGTCTCTATAATCAGCTTTAGAATGTCTAATTTTGGTGAAATTTAATGTGCATTTTGATAAAAGTTCTTCATAGAATTTCATGTGTTTAATTGTTTTGAAAAAAAAAGTTGTGTTTTTTTTGCTGCTGTTTCATCGTAGGGCTGCAGTTATTGTAATAATCGATTCTGCTGGTTATCGCTTTGATTAATCAGACGTAATGTTTAATGCTCTCAATCGAACAATGTGAAAAGCGAAGTGATGTTTACATTGGGTCCAAAAATATTGTATAATAAAGAAAACAACATGAAATGGTAAAAATATTTTTAAAATCAATAAATACAACATTTTAGACAAAAGTTCTTTACAGAATCCTGTGTTCAGTTGTTTTTATTTTTTTTAATTTTTTTTAAGTTGCGTTAGTTTTATATTACTATTTTTTGTGGGGCTGCAATTAATGACTATTTTGGTAACTGATTGATCTGTTTGTTGTTTCCTTGATTAATTGAAAATCATGTTCAATTCTTTCCTTCAAACAATATGCACATTGAAGTAATGTATACATTGTGTCCAAAATTATTTTAAAGTACAGGTTACCGTATAAACTCATTTTATGTTGTGAAAAATATATATAGGCCTGTGTCCGTTAAAAGCAGCATAACAGATTAAACAACCAAAATGATTAAAATGACAAAACCAAACCAAGTATGAACAGTTATTTGGATAAATATGTAGTATGCATGATTAAAAATTACAGTTTGTTTCTGCAAAAATATTATTACCTGCATTTATGATTTCAAGTTCAGTTGTGGCTCATTTAAAACTACAGTTTGATGTTTAACTAATATTTGAATGACTTGCCTGCACGTTCTCTATTAAATATTTAAAGTGTAACAATGACAGCAACATTAAATTGCTTTCTGTTAGAATGCATTGTTTTGCAATGTAGAAATGCTTGCATTAAAAGAGCAGTAAAATGAAATTAAATGTGTTTTTAGGTTCTAGTAATGCATTTTGTACCATACGAAAGACCTGACTAATCAGGAATAACATTTATTGTTGATTATTTAATTCGGTTTCATAATCAGTTTTAAAAATGAGTCATTCATTGGTTGTTGACCTACATTTTTATAGCTCATCCACAGCAACTTTTTTGTTTCCTCTCCAGGTTATCACTGCTGATCTCCTGGAGCGCTGCAACACAGGGACCACCGCTCAGAAACTCACCAATGACCTGCTGCGCAGCCTCTACGACAGAGACTGTCTGGCCTCTCACTCAATCTCAGGCATCGTCAACAGCAAGCGAGGGATGCCTAAGCCAGCTCTTCCGGCACATGAGATCCAGGCCATTCTGAGTACGTATAAGGGACTGTTTGTAACAAGTACTGAACGGCGGGCATCCTTTAGTTAGTTCGAGAATGCGTTCAGTTCCATTTCATTAACTGCAATCAGGCCATTGTGAAGTTTGTGATTAATTGTGGTCTCAAGTTTGCAGTTTTGATTACCAGTGAAACATTCTCTACAGGGACAGTGCAGCGGTTCTTCCCCGGAAAGACTGATTCTGAAATAAAGGGCTACATACGACAGAAGCTTCAGAATGAGGCCAAGAGGCTTCGGAAAAGGCCACACCCAGCTGATGATCCATTGGTGGGCTCATTTGAGAAGGAGAAAGCAACGGTTGAGCATTGAGTGTCGACTTTCATTGGACATCCCCAGTGAACATATTTAGTTGAAGAATTAAAATCAAATTTAACGACACAAAATTCTGTTATTAACCTTAAAGGGATAGTTCAGAAAAAGTTCTGTCATCATTTACTTAATTTTCATTTACTGTGGTTTGAAACGACACGAGGGTGAGTAAATTATGACAGAATTTTCATTTTTGAGTAAGGCTGCATGGTTCATCAAAATAAAACCAAAACCGGCTTAGTGCGATTATCAAAACGCGAAGGCTGCAGTTTAATTTAATAAGCAGAGTTTCAGAGTGAAGCGCAGCACTGGGTTCATTTACACAGGAGCAACTCATGTTCCAGTGTTTTCAGTCTCTCAGAGCAGCTCAGTTTGCATTAAACCTCCACTTGTGCTGGGCTTTGAGTCGCTTATAACATTTGGGAACTCAACCATTGTCACAAATTTGTAATGAGATGCCCTTATAAACAGACTTGTCAGCAAGAGAATCTCTAAGGACTCCCTGCAGTTTTCTGTCAAAATAAAAGCTTGATAGCTTAACATTTTAAAAAGAAGAAATTAAAACAGCAAAAAATATTAGTATTGTAATTTTACAGTTGTACTATAAAATAAAAAATGTTCTTAAATACAATTTAAAAACTATAATTTTATTTTATATTGAAATATTACAATAATAAGAGTTATTATTTTAATATTTTATTTAATAATACTAATATTTATTATTATTATAATTAAAATGTTGGGCCAAATTGTGCCGCACAGCAAACCTGGAGCTATTTTAATTTTTTTAAATGCAACGAATTTTCCCCCCACAAATCGTGCAGCCGTTTTTGAATTAACTATCCTTTTAAGTTCGTATTTGAAAGGTTTTGTGTAAGCTGCAGAGTACATGACAAACTATGTGTGTATGATTTTTATCATGTTGATTACACAAAACTGTGACTTCTTATTGATTTGAAATTGCAAAACGACCCCCGGAGTCACAGTTAGAAGTAGATGGAAAACAGTAGCTTCGACGTACCTCCAGCATCACTGCCAGACGTTATCACACACTGTTTGTCATGTGCTAAAACTTTGAACCAAGTAGACTAAAGCTGTGAACACAGTGGCAGATGGTTAAGCATCGCTCTCCTGTAAAATGACATGGATGTCACTTGGTAGGGGGGTTACATCGTGATTGATGTAGTTCAGACTTGTGGTATTTTAGTTGATCACATGTTGAAAGTGTGCCCTGGCGTGTAATGTGAATATATTTTTTGTGTGTAATGTGAAATACACACGTGCCTCTTATATTGGACTCCTCACTGTGGCCTTATCAGTCAGAAAACGCAGCAGTACAGTTCTCATTTCGAAACCACTGTGATTATATCCATTAAAAAGGACTTGTCTGTCTTGGAACGTGTGGCGTCTTTTTTGTTGTTGTTTTGATTGCAGATTCTGTTCGTAGAAGCTTATCAAATCGGCTGCACGAAAACGCACACGTTTTTTGCCTTTCCAGACAGAAGCACGCAGGCTCCTGAAGGCCAACGGCTGTGTGAGTAAATTAACCCTGCATTCACCAGCTGTATCACCGCACCCACCCCTTTCTGGGGAAAAAACACATCACCAAACACATGGCACAAAGGACGGTGTGGGAACTGCATATGGTACATAATCAATAGGCCTTATCGCGCACACACAACCCGAACCGCAGACACACCAGCATTGGGCTAGACCATTATCAGTGATACATGACCCTAATCCATTTATGTGTCAATGATACAACAGATTGGGGTTCGGGAAAAAAGCGGCGTCGCACTGGGAACAATATCTTCACCGATCCAGCCATCTTACAGACTCTGCCTGTATTTCCACTCATCAGATCTGCTAACAGCAAATCAATGGGCTTCTTTTGTTTCTGCAGGTTCAGACATCCTCATTGCGTCGTTGTGTTATCGGCGGCGCATTGTGTGTGTGCGTAAATCACTTTGAATTTGCCACCAGGATGGAGGCCTCTCCCAGAATGTTTTCTTTTATCTAATATGAGGATGTAAACGTTGCGAGGAAGCGAATATTTCAAACGGCGCTACGGCGCAGCCATTTGATCTCTGAAGGCTCCAGTTGATTTACGAATATGAGAAGTGCTTCAGCTGCATTCGCCAATATTTTCACTGCGCAGTCAAAGAAAACTTCAAAGTTGAAAGTTGGAGCGTTAAAGAGTCCTCCGGGTTCGCATCCTTCTCTGAAGGGGCCAACGCAAACACGCCTCGGCCCTCCGCGGGGCTCTCGCTGAACCTGGGTAAAAGCAGCAGGGAGGACAACCGATATTAAACGTTTGCAGAACGCAGGAGAAACGCCTCCTCCTGTAGGCCCATGCGTTTCCCGCAGAGCTGTAATATGTCATCTGGGCAGCCACTTCGGTGGAGGACATATCCCACAATGCCCTGCAAGGCAGGGTGCCGCGGTACCCGTTGCGGCTCACTAACACGCCTCCACGTGCCATCTCAACTTTTCATTTGTCTTCTTCTACCTGTCAAGGGGAGGAAAAAATTGTTTGGAGGGAACGATCCTCCCTGACGGAATCATGATCTATCAGTTGCACTTCTGTGCCGTTAAATGACATTGCTCTTTTATTCAACGTTCCACAAACAGAAACAGTCTAATTCAATCATCTTAATCCCAGTCATAAAATATATTGTTCGTTCAGGGATTAGACTCTGCAATTAAGGACTACATTCACACATGCTTTAATTGTTGATTTTTGCTTTGCTTTGTTTTGTTTGCATCTTCTGTATGTATAATACAAGCGCAAACCAGGAATTTTTTAAAAAATATTATATTTTTTTCTTCTTTGTTTTGTCTGGATCTTTTGTATGTAGAATGTGGAAGTGCAGACTGATGATTTTTTTTGTTTGCTTGTTTGCTTTTTGTTTTGTTTAGGTTTGTTTTGTTCAGATTTTGTGTCTACATAATAGCTCAAATTACTTTTTTTTTTATTTTTTTTACTAATTTTGTCTGATTTTTTTAGCATATATAAACTTTTACCACCGCTTTTTACTTTTCTTTTGCTTTTCTTTGTTTTGTTTGGATATTTTTATGTATAATAAAAGTACTAACCACAGTTTTTTTTCTTGTTGTTTTGTCTGTGTCTTTGTATGTATAATATAAGCTCAAACCACCTTTTTTTGTTTTGGTTTATTTTTGTTCTACTTTGTTGTAGAACATAAGTGCAGACTGACAATTAAATTTTTTTTAATGCTTTTTGCTTTGTTAGGATTTTGTCTATGTATAATAGCTCAAATTAATTATTTTTTTTTTTTTGCTTTTCTTTGTTTTGTTTGGCTCTTTAATTATGTATAATATAAGCCCAGACTGCAGTTTCTTTTCTGTTGTTTTTTCTTTTGCTTTTCTTGTCTTGTTTTGTTTGATCTTGCGTTTGTGTAATACAAGATTTTGACTTTGTATATGTGCAAAATACAACCAGTAGTTTTTAGTTTTTTGCTGCATTGCTATACTTTTTGTTTTGTTTAGATTGGTTTAGAAACAGCTGTTTCTTTTTCTTTTCTTTTTTTCATTTTGATCTTGCATTTGTTTGAAACAAGATCAAACAGTAATGCTGTGTTTTGTTTTGATCTTTTAAAATATTATGTAAGTCCAAACAGCTGTTTTGTTTTGTGTTGCTTTCTTATACTTGGTTTTGGTTCGTTTGGATGAATACAACCCCAAACAGCTGTGTTGCATTGTGTTTTGTTGTTTTGAACACGGACACATTCTTCAATAACCCAAGTTCGTTTTTAATTAGAAGTCTTTGACTCATCTTGGGAATCTTGTTGTTCTGTCTGTCACGGCAGTAGGACAGGAAAAGACCAGCTGTCATGTTTCCAAATCAACAAAGGCTGTTTTTATATGCATTCTCTTGGGCTGAGTGTGATTTTCCACCAGCAAGACTGCGAAATCCATTCGTACAGACGCAACGGTCTGAGCACAGTTGACATTCATAGTCATGCGTGTAGCAAGAACGTGTTTTTGTGGCTGTTCCTTTCTCTGCATGTTCTCCCGCTGAGAAGTGCGTGTTCAATTAAAGCGCAGGGGGTGACCATTGGTCCAAACCAAACAGAACACGCATACGGCAGAGGCTCGGGATGGTCAGTTGTCAGGGCAACACGGCCCCTGGAGAGGGACGAGGGTGAAGCAAACACCTGCCCTGCTCTGATCTGTGGGGAATTACTCTGACTGAGAGCAGATGAGGATCCTTAAAACCGAGAGAGCGAGCGTGAACGAGTGAGGAGGAGGAGGAGGAAAAGCAGGGCGAAAATGTGAGCATCTGTAGAGAGAGAGAGAGAGAGAGAGAAAGAAACGGAGAAAAAGAGAAAATAGAGACAGACAGAATGAATAAAAGAGGTGGAGATTTAGATGAAGCCTGTCTGATCTCACTCGATTATATATGTGGATTTAACTGTCTGTATGTGTAACCACTCCATCCAAACCTGTTCACTCTCTATCTGTCTCTTTCTCTCTCTCACTCTCTCTGTGGTTTTTCGTTGGCATCTCAAACCGCATTTTCACCATTTCCTTGTGGCTGTAAGAATCCGTGAGGAATTAAAGCGGTGTCTTCGTCTATCTGACATACTGTCAGCATATCTAGAGACTAGTGGTCTGTAAACACGCTGGCGTGGGGTCAGATCGCTACACGTGTACCTCGGTGTTTTGTGTCATTTAAAAATAAAAACCATAGCCTAAAAACCTAAAATAATCAGAGTTTGAACCTGCTCAGGGTTTAAAATGTCGCTTTGAGGCACACCGAAATGGACAGAAACGGGAAGCAGCTTTTCTTTCGGGACAACCTCAAATTTGGGAGCTGTCTGTCATAATTTCCCAAGGCCGAAAGAACTACTCAAGCATGATTCTGTCAGCAAAAACTCCCTTTGAGAATTTCCAACATCATAAAAGTAAAAAAAAGACTTTTGAGTCATTTTGAAGAGCATGATACTCATAGTTTTTTGGGTTGCTTATTTAGCTATTTTAAATATAATTTTATATTATTAAAAAAAAAAATCAATATATAATTTTGTATTATATTGAATAATTTATTTCTATAATTATTTTTATCATTTTAAATGACAAACTTTTTGCCCAACTCATTATATTTACAAACTATCCGTCCTTCTTGTTTGGGAGAGAGAAAAAACAGCTTTGAGTTGCTACCATTCTGCACTTATTCGTGCCACATAATGTTTGTATACTGTAGATTTTATGTATGCATAGAATAGAATTTGAATGATAAAAGAGAGCACACTGTGCAGAATATTGCACCTCATAATGCAATGCTCTCCACTTGACTTTTCCATTGTGAGCAATGAAGCAGAAGTAATATCAACTGCAATTCTTTTGTATTTTCTTGACTCATTATTTGATCACACTGTTAAAAGTTTTAAGACATTTTAACGCAAAGTTGAACTTTGCGTAAAATATTTATATAAAGAACATAACTGTAATTAAACATGCAAATATTGAGGTCCTGTGAGAACAATGTAGCATTGAAATATTAGCTCAAGTAGTAGAGCATGGTGTTTGCAATGCCAAGGTCAAGAGTTTGAGGAAATACATGAAAAAAAAAATAAAAATAAATAAATAAACTGTATACTTTAAATGAAATGTCAGTTGCTTTGGATAAAAGCATCTGCCAAATTTCATAAACGTACGCTGAAAACGTACGCTGAATTTTCTTGTGAAGCACAGCTACTTCAATCAGTTCAAAAATATTTTTACAGTGTAAATGCAAGCAGTACGGTAATATCCCAGCCAGTGAGAAACAATGAGAACAGAAGTGCGTGAAAGACAATTGCACGCTGCAAAGAAAAGAAACAGTGTGTTTGTGTACGTAAAACAGAACGGAGATACCTGGCTCTGGTTTGAGTGCGTATTATTAGGTTTGGGAAGAGGAACATATGTAGAGGAGCCGCAGGGGCCTGGGTGGGGGACGCTTGATCCCGTGGCGCCGCTTCTCTCTTCTGCCCCCAAATGGAAGCACAAATTGAGTTGGTAGGGCTGCGTAAATTGAATTTACCGAGGGAGCCCCCCCACCATTACCAGCCCCACACTGAGTTTAGGGTCATCTGTTTTAGTTGGCAAATTGATTTTTACATTTTGGCCCTTGTCCTCTGCCATCCTGTCCTGATCTTTCTCTCTCTCACTCTCCTTCTCATTCTCATTCTAGCTGATGTTTATAGTCATGTATGACGGGAAGAGTTTATATGAACATGGTGGTTTACATCAGTCATGTAGCGTGTGTCTGGTCAGTTCATGTGATTTTCTTGTTGGAAACATTGGTTTATATATCTTGGATACATAATTTGTCGGTGTTTTGTTCATAAATAAGTTTGCAAATGATTCACAGATGTAAGGATCCGTGTTTATAAAGGCTTGTCTTCTCATCTGTATTGTGAACGAAGGTGTCCTCAACCTTTATGAGGTTACGGTGTATGACTGTGTGTGTGTGTGTGTGTGTGTGTGTGTTTCGCCACTTTAGAACAGTAGAAGTTGTGCTCTTCACTCCCTGTGATGATAGCAGCATTGTAGCAATTAATTAAACAAAATTAATTACCCTCCTTATCATCCGAGTACACATTCACGCAAAGCACTCTCTCCATCCTTCTCTAACACACACACACACACACTTTTACACATACGCCTTCTGTTTCTCTCTCTTTCTCTTTCCCAAATACTTTGCAGTACTGTATCCAAAGGAAGATGGCATTACTCAAAAGCTGCTCTTTCAAAGCTCAGGGTGTTTCATTCAAGTATCAGCTCAGTTTCAGATGGTTTTTCATTAAATTCCTTTGGAGAAGTAGACACAAATGAGTTA